TATGGATGTTACCTGAACTAGCAGCTGTCCAGAATTTCCCACTTCACCTCTCATCAAGAAGGAATAGGTCAGAAAAAAAAAAAAAAAAAAGTAAGCAGAAAAAACCTCAAACAAATTCAAACCACAAGCTTTTTGGATAATCTGGTTCTGAGGAATAAAGGTAGAGAAGGGATCAGTATTTCATGGAGTATTTACCAGGGAGTGTTTTCTTTTCTTGTATCTCTTATAGCTACTGTAAGAGAGGAAGAGGCTGCTCTGCTGAATGTATATCAACTGTTCAATACGTTTTGGTTTTGCTTTTGCCAGGAGTCAAACTTTAGGATCTTTTCTACACCAAAATTCAGCATAGTCCTTCAATGTCGCTACTGCCCAAACAGTGGCTGACCGTACAAAGGATATATTTTAGTCACCCTTTCTCAGGACAAATATGCATTAACCTTGGAACAGGCTGCACAGAGAGAACTTTAGCACCTAAATGGATAAAGGCCCAAGGAATTTCATCTGATCTCAAAGTTGACCCTGCTTTCAGCAGGAAGCTGCATCTGTAGAGAGCTCCTTACATCTGTTCCCCCTGAAAGCTGATCTTTGTGTAAGTGATGTCTGTTGATTAATTTTATATGATAGAGCTGTAACACTGAGATCTATCTGTAAGAGAAAAGGAGTGTATCTTGAGGTTATTCAACCGCAGTGATCACACCTGAGTTAGCCTAACCATTTCCAACACACCAGTGAGAACTTGTAAGGGTTTGAAGGAGAGCAGATTGTGAATTGACCTAGAGATGGTCACTGCAGAGCTGATGTTTTTGATGGGCTAGTTCAACAGCTGATTGCTGCATGTCCTGAACTTTGTAGCTGAACAGTCAAACTGCAAATGTTGTCAGCTCAAAACTTTCCTCCAAGTATTACATTTATCAAAATGAAAAAAAAAAAACAACCCAAAACCACAAATGTGACTTGCCCTGCTGTTTATTTTTGAGCACATTACTCCCAAACTGGAACAGAAGTCACAGCACTTAATCCTTTTTCTTTTTGCAATTGTTATGTACATGTTTGCTTAAAAAAAATGCATCAGGTTTATAAAAAATATATACATTTACCTTGTGTTATTACTGTTAAAGTATACAAAGATAAATAGGCAGCTATGATAAGGTAAAATTGTTATTGTGATTGTGTTTCCAGTTCATTTTTATCAGGGGTTATAAAAACTGAGATTATAGTGGGTGCATTACTGCTAAATTCTATAATCTTATAGGTGGTTATTGAATTATTTTGAGCATAGTCTTTATAGAAGCTTAGTTATAATAGATTTGCCTTTATTACAGCAAATAATGAATCAGTTTAATAAGATTATACTATTTTGAAACTTGACATTTATTGCAGTCTTATTTTTTCAATTAATCACAATATGGTAGTCTTTTTCAGTTAAGTTTCTTCAATTATCATTAGCATGAAATAATTTTACATGCTGCTGAAATCTGCTATTGAGAAATTCAAACTGTAAGCCTCAGACAATTTTCCAGTTGTGGTAAATATTAGGAGAAGGATGGGCTACATACTGGCCTAATACTCCTCGCTTAACCTACGATGCCACAGTTCTATCTTCTAGTGGCCCTGTTCTAATTGACATGCCCTTAATTCAAGGAAGATTGATGTAGTTCAAAACATTGATAAAAGGGAAATGGAATGAAAAGTGAGAATACTCTATGGAAATATTTTTTGTTACCTTTTTTTTTGGGGGGGTGGGGGGGCAGGTGTTAGGGGGAGCATTTTCTAAGTTTGAGGGACACTGCAATTTGGTAGCAAACTAAGCCAGCATGCTTTCTGGGCTAGCCTGGGCAACTGAGGCATAAAGGAGATCAAGACTCTATAGATAGCTTTTAAGTACAGCTAAATCTCATAAACAAGCAGGATTTGGAGGCACAGTTTGAGGACAAAGTTACGTTTTATGACTGATGTAATATAACAGCTTGCTCTTGTGAGAATAGGTAAATTCTAACTCCTCAGGTGTTCCTAGTTGCATGATCCCACCTCTTCCCTCACACCAGCTTTAGTACTTAATAGACTTGTGAGATAAATTGATTCCAGTCTTCAAATCACAGTCTTCAAATCACACAAATTATTCACTCTCTTGTCTTAGGTTAGTTTTCTTCTGGTTCAACAAGTTGAATTGACTCAATGCAGGGTATGGTGCATAACATGAAAGAAGGGGGACAGTGGATATAGCCAGAAACAGGAGGAACAAGATCCCCCCCTTTTGGTAGTAATGAGCTAGTAGATTTATTCAAGACCTAATGTCTAACTTTAACCCATGCCTGGCTATCTTTTCCTGGACCGGTTCCGGTTAACACACAGATTTGGCAGCATCTGTCTGATCTCTTTTGCTAGCTCTAGCAAGTTACATTTGACAATGAAAATTCTCTGTATGAGCATGATTTCTGCTTCCTATCCTTTCTTTTATTTCTGACAATAGCAGATAGCTTTTTAAAGAGATAATTCAAAATGCACATTTTTCTACCACTTGAAGTCATCTCTTGCTTTAGATATGTTTAATGTTATGGCTCACAAAGTAGAGTAACTTAGAACTGCTAGTGGTCGATCAGTTTAGTTACTTTAACAATGAGGCAGTGAATGCAAGAAATCACAGCTGTGCTCAACGGTATAATCAACGTGTTTAATTAAGAATGTTCAAGCCCCTCTGGTTTCAGAAGCAGCATTTTCTTCCAGTTTACTCTAGTGGTTGAAGTATGTATTTTGAATGTCTTACTGTAATATGGTAGAATGTACACTTATTAATAGTATCTAAATCTGAAGAGATTACAGGAAGAATGAAAATCCACTGTGCAGAATATGATGTCTGACTTGCATTTTCTTTTTTCCTATTTGCATAGTTAATATTATCAGAGGTTCATTTGCCTGATTGTATTGTTACAGTAAGACTTACCTAGCACCAAAAAGCCGAAATCTAAGAATGAAGTTGTCTGGGATTTTGGAGTTGATTAGAATCAAGTGAGCTAGAACTGAAGTTGCTTCTACATGTGACAGTAGGATTACCTTTGTGTTAAATTATTAGGTTTTATTTTGTAGTCCAAACTCAGAATGTATATGTTTGTTTTAACATTCAGAACTGGAAAATAAGGAAGGCATTTGGAATCTGGATATATACAAACAAAATATTGATCAGCTCACGATAATAATAGTAGAAGTGCTTATTATACAAGTTCTTGCTAGAATAAAGGACCCAAGTATTACTTAATTTAAAGAATGTAAACATTCCACAGACTGTGCTCTTAACATATGTAGGCTAAATACTCTGCTAAAATGATGCTGATGAGAATGGGTCCTTCAAGAAAGTGCATATATAATCTATTCTGTGACCTTATTATACAGCTCCCCATATCACAGATTTTGAAGAAGTTTGTTCAGCTCAGCTAGAGAAAGACTTGTAGACCGGCTTTTCTGTGGCAGCTAGGGGAGATATCAAGGAGTGGCATCCAAATAATATAAAACATAAAAACGTGCCCTAGAAGCCTGTAGCAGTACTTGGAGAAAGATTCACCTGTGAAGAAAAAGTTAATAGAGCTCACTGTGACTGAACCCTCAGTGCTTGGTCTGTGATCCAGGCATCCGTGGTAAATTATGGTGAAAGTCTGACCTCTCTCATGGTAGAACTGTGTGGAAAGGCTTTTCATGTGCAGTTCAATTGAGAATTGAAACCAAATTTGATTATAGTTGATGTGATAATGTCAAGCCTAAGATTCTTAGATATTGGTTTTGCTTTGGGGTTTGTTCAATACATAAATTAAGTACAGGAGCACTATAAACTGGATGACCATGCAGGGAAGTAAGATAATCTGACTAAAAAAATCATTAAATGCACATAACTGCAGAAAATTGCTAAGTAGTTAGCTAGCTAGGAAGCAAAACCAGATGATTATAAACCCCTGTATTTTTGTATGAATTAAATTGTAAATTTGAGCTCTAGTGAATTCTTTAGAAAGATTAATCTTGATGTAAAGACATCAAATCACAGACAAATAATAAATGTTTCTAAGAGGCAATTGTCCTTTATTATAAAGATTATGTACCTTATTCTCATTTGGATCATGTACCTTATTCTTGTTTGAACTTCAACCTTCAGTAATATCCTAGGAGTCAATTTTCACTATTGTTTCCTCACTTCATCATCTCATGTTAGGTAGGTAGGAGATCTGGGAAGTGATTAGTTTTTAAACCAAGATGAGACACTTTCTGTTCACTGAAAAGAGAAAGAGATTAGTTCCCTTGACCATAAACAGTTTCATAACGTATATTTATAATTTAGATTTATATAAATAATTATGAATCATTTACTAACAACCAGTGTAGTCATAAATAATGTGGACTGTTAAAGGGAAAATTGCCAGAATAGAAGAAGCTGAATACATTCCAAACTACTGCTATGGTTCTGAACAGTTTTCTTCTTACGCAAATATCTGGATCTTCACATGCATGCTTATAGGGAAGACAGAAAAAAATATCAGCTTCCAAAACTGTGTATATACATAATTGCGTACCAGCATGGGGAATTTCATTAGCAAGTAAATGAAGCATAGAAGTATTGATTTCAGAATATGTCCTGAACCTTTCTAAACACATCTGATGCAATATAATTTCTAAATGAAAAGTTTTGAAGATTGTAAATTATATCACTAGATGGCAGTAATAGCCAAGTGAAATGCAATAACCATCTAAAGCATCTCAGGGTTTTATTCATAATTTAATCTTGTAATATCAGATCTAGACATAAATGTTAGGCATGAGATTCTGCTGTCTGAACCCAAGTCATGTAAATTATGATCATACATAGGTCCGTGGTCAGGTTTTGACACACTACAAAAAGGTCATTTGCAATGCTGTATAGGGCTTGAGGGTCCTATTAGAGTCTTCCAATTGTTCATTTCTATCTGGTTTGTGGTGCGTGTGTTTATTTATTTTTTTTATTTATTTTTTTAAGTAAACAGCCAGGAGGTTAGGTGCCCAGTGGCCACTGAGATGCTCAGAAATGGGTTGGAGCTCATTCCCTATGAGGACAGGCTGAGGGAACTTGGCTTCTTCACTTTGGAGAAGAGCAGGTGTACTGGGGACCTAACAAAAGCTTTTCAATACAGGGTTATCAAACTGGACTCAGGCACAGTGATCCATGGTAGATGGATGAGAGACAATGGGTATGAGCTGAAAGAATAAAGATCCCGACTTCACGTAAGGAAAGACTTTTGACCATGAGGATTGTAGTGTGAGATTGTGCAGCGTTATCCTTGTAGGTTTTAACAGCTTAACTGGAAAAAGCCCTCAGTAACCTGGCCTGACAGCCTCCGCTGTTCAAAGCTGACCATGCTCTGAATCAGAGGTTGATCTGCAGACCTTCTGAGAAGGTTTTCAATCTAAATTGCCCTATAATCAGATACTAAAAAGCCAGCCGCACCTCTATGAATATGGAATGATTATAATGTCTATTAACAACATACAGATACCTGACAGATCTACTGATTTATTCCCTCCTCCCCCCCTGCTTTTTTTCCCCCTTCTTAAAAGGAGTCATGCACACTAACTAGTTCTGCTGGAAAATGTCCTACTCACATGAAACTAAACTTCGGATTGTTCTACTGTTGTTCTTTGCTTGACTAAATTTAGTGGGAGGTTGCAAATACTGTTTAGAATTTCATTTATCATTCTAAGAATTTGTAAGCAAACCAAATAGGTCTTTTGTATTTTATGTTCATATTTAAAGATCATTATGGATGAAAGTCAAAGAACACATGCTTTCTGGCATATAGAGGAATCGATTTATTTTGACTACCTGACACACTCAGATATTGCAATATTTGTGACTTAAAGCACAGTTTAATTGGATTTTGCTCCTTAAACATGCTTTACATTAATGTTATAGTGTGCAAAGTTCTTCTGTTTACTGTAGGACTGGAGGGTCTTCAGCCAATTAAAGTTGGTTTGTTGTTTTTTTTTTAAATATTTGTATTGTTAGATGTCTGCTTTATGCACATTCCCAGACCCAAACTGAACTTCTTGAAGGGCTGAACTCATGCAATAAATCTGCTTTCATATGAGCATAATGACCCTGACAGAAACAATAGTGTTGCAAAGTCAAGCCTTTGAGTGGACTTTTAATAGCAGAAAGGCATTCTGCCAAGTTTAGGTAAGAAGGCTCTAAGAAGTTATTCTGCTGCTCCCCCTATAAAAAACCAGTTTATAATTACCAGCACAAAATCTAGCAGCAGGAAGTAAGGTTTCAGTTTTAAAATGTAACTTGATTAGCTTTTCAATGTTAAAATTAAAGCTGTAAGAGCTCATGAATATCTGCCAGCCCAGCAGATTCCTGAGTTGGTTTGCTTAAAAAAGGGTTTTGCTATTACTTTTGCTATCATTAAGGTGAACTTACTTAGAACAATGACAAGATTTGAAATTAACAAATCTGGGATACTTTGAGGTCCATACAAATTAGAACAGCAAGAGATTAGTGAGAAAAAATGCAAACATGCTAGAGAGAGAAGTTCATTCGCTTTTGATATTTAACATATATAAACGAAACTCTCTTGCACAAGAAGATGGATATCCTAGCTGCAGGACCTGTACTGTAATTCTGATTTGCATTGACACGTCAATTTACTTTGAAGAGGAGGTAATTTTGCTTCTATATTATTAACTGATTCTAGGTTTAAATATTATAATTTTGCTATGCATTTGTCACCTTAGCCTCTTCAGTTTTAAAGTTCATACTTAAACTGTTTTATGTCTCTCTAATTACATTTATATGTCGCACTATCTTTTTCTTTCCCATGACAGAGTTATGAAGAGTTTTGCACTGCTTATTCAACTGTTGAATTCTCTATTGACATCAGTCCAATACTGCAAACTGCAATTAGTAAAATTAAGTCAGTATGCATTACCTTGTATGTGGAAATGGCATATATTTACTATAAGCACTGACGCTTGTATACTTAAAGTTATAGATAAAACCAATATCTAGCATGTAGTCAGAAGAAAATTTAAATGTTGTGACTTTTTAGATCCATTGATTACAGGTTTTTTTGCATTGCTCAAAGACCCAAACCCCTGAAACAATGACTTTCACTGTTCAAAATACATGGGCTATTTAAGATTGGCAGCTTGGTGAATTTTAGAGTAGAAAACTCACCCCTTCCTTCAGAGGAGTTTTCTGGATACAGTCACATCTTTTACAGTCGTATCAAAGGCAAACTGAAAATACAAATAAGCAAAAATGGCCATTCAAAATGTAAGTTTCATTTCCAGTAAAATTAGGCTGTATAATCTTTTTCCTAGCTCAATCCTGTACAGCCTGCAATTTATGATAAATGATGGGGAAGTAGCAGAGAGACTAAAATCTCCCCATCCACTGCCACTCAGCTGTAACTATTCATAGACATACATATACATATAACTGAGATATTAGTTGTCATAATCTTCCCATTTCATTTCCTTTTTCTCCTTAGTCATTTCTGGTATGTGTTCAACCAATCAATTCCCACTTAATTTTAGTCCAAATCAGAGAAGTCAGCCTAGAAGACTGACCTCCACATTTTCACATAAATTCAGCTGTCGGCAAGTGTTGATGTGGCACAATGCAGTACTATGTACTTGCTTAGATCTCAAAAGCACTATAGCTTTAGAAGATCAACGTTTTCTTAGGCTAGTTGCTTTGCTGATTAAGCAGAGTAAGGTGCCCAGGGCAGAACAATGTAGTAATTTATCCTTATTGCATTTGGAACCTGAGTTAGCATGAATCTTGCATTCTGCCATGTAGGCTGATCCTCCTGATGTAGAAACAACTCCTGAAATTTTCTGAGTTATTTTGCCATGAGTAAGTGAAATACTGGTAACAAAGAAACCAGTAGAAAAATTTGTGGAGGTTGTTGCCACCTGGGTGTTACCACTAGATGCCAGTTTCATTATGTTAGGGGTACATGCCTTTTGAACTATAGGCCAGCTCAAAACCACACCTTTATGTTTCCTTTGCAGGGGAGCATGAAGGAAAATTAGTGCTTTGGTGTTATAGTCCAGGAAGGTTCTGTTACTGCACAGAAACTTGGTTTCTTAGCTTAGGCACCCAAATTAGGTGTTTCATATTAGATCATATAGTAACTTCTGTTAGTATGGAAACTGCAAATTAATTTTATGTTTAGCTTTTTCTAGGCTTGATGATCACACAACCAGCTATTTGTTATCTATGCTGTTTCTTTACACTGTCTTCTAGATCATGTAAAATGTTCTTAATGACCTTAATTTTTTTCTGAGGTTGAAATTTATTTAAATCAGTCTAGCTAAAGGGTAGCCTTTTAGCTCAAGTTCAGTATCCTACAGCCTCTTCCTATAGCTTTTAAGTTTGAAGTCAAGTCCTTTATCACCCCATTACCTTGGAATCTGCCTGCTCTGGCTCATATATTGCTTATAATGAGTTTACATGACAATTTTTTCTAAGAACTTTACCTTTTCTTTTGTTACTATAAAGAGGACAAAAACCAGAAGCCTTGTGCCAATGTAGTCTTCTCAGGAGAAAGCTTCCTTATTCCCTACAAATACTCGTGACTTGGATGGTCCTATAACACAAATTTCTTCTTGCTATCTTCATTCATTGTGTACCTCATTTTCCTAGCCCAAGAAAAAAGCTGCAGAAAGAAACCAGTACACACTTGATGATAACCTCCTGCACTGCCTAACACCTCCCTGAAGGAATTGGGATGGACAGAACATAAACTGTGGTGTAAATAAAGGAAGCTGAGACTTGCAAGTGGGAGAGGGTTGTACACCCCCCCCCCCCCCCCCCGAATCACTGATTAGAAGTTTGTGTTAATTTGCAACAGATTACATTAAGTAAAAGTAAATTCCCCAAGTTTTAAGACTGCTTTGCCTGCAATTTCATTTCTTCAGATCTGGAGACAACATCTGCAAGGAAACTTCAGCTTGTAAATTCTGCTATACTTTGGTTTTGCTGCCTAGTTTACTTTGGACATCCCAGTGGTACAGGGTTGGGGACAGCTGGGAACAACTATTTCTGGAAACCCATCTGGGAATAATGCCTATCTAGTTTATACCCTTGGGCTAACCCAAACCTATGTTCTCTTGCCAGGTGACAGAACTAAGAGATTCAGATATCTTCATGTGTACTTAGTTGTACTCTTAGGAGTTGCCTCAGGTGAACTTTCATTCTATAAATGTATTACGAATTTTTAATCACCAGACATTTTTTTTGCCTTGAATCCTAATTCTCCACTGTTTTGCACCTCATGAATTAATTTGCACATATGCAGAGTGAAATTAGGTGTTAACTGAAACCAGTCCAGTTTGGTAACAAACTGCATACCCTTTGAATAGGTGTAAATTATTGTGATGAAATGTAAAGGAGTAGGGAATTGAACCATATGAAGTGATCTTTGTCTGACAGCTTTCCCATAATGTGGAAAATATAAAGCATCCTTTTGTCTGTCTTTATAATTCTTTAAACGCCTATGTGTATCATCACACCACCAGCCAATAATAAGCATTTAGGGCCTGATACTCACATCTTCAGACATTAACAACCAGCACAGTAGCAGTTCTTCAAAGATTTTTTTTTTATTTAAATAATGACAGCTCAGTGTAAGCACCAAAATTTTTGTCAAAGTAGCTTTTTTTCTGAACTAATGACCATTAATTACTAAGTGGGAGTGGTGTCCTGTAGCTGTATTCTGATGAGTACACTTAATAACAATTTTTATATGTACTGTTTTTAATGTAAAATTCAGCATCAGTTTAGAAATTAGTACTTACTGAAAATAAGTATTTACAGAATCATAGAAATATTGGTTGGAAGAGACCTTTGAAGGTCATCTAGTCCAACCTCCTGCTCAAAACCACACTACTGCCGACACTGGATAGTCAGCTATGGCTTCTTAATACAAAAAGAAGGCATATAGGAAAAGGAAGCAAGAACAGTTGCCGTAGGAAGATGCTGTAAAAGAATATCTTAAGGATGAGATCTCTAAGGCCGAGCCTAGCTGAAGCTAAAACTAAGTAAGGCCTAAGTAATGAGTAGCCATAAGTGATACTACTGGTATGCCAGTAACAAAAGGAAAATGTAGGTCTGTTGATGAGCCTAATCCTGTATTATGCTATTTCTGAAGCTTTTCATTTGTTAACTAAGCAACAGCAGAAGCATTCTTGATGGCTAGATTCACAATGCAGCATTGCATTAATGAATCAAATAAAACTACATTATCCTATCTATTTTTACAATTTGCTTTCAGTTTGTAATGTCAGGTTCTGTGTAAATCAGTAGGAACAGAAGTGGATTTTAGAAGTTTCCCTGTTTCCCTATTTCTCCTTTGTAACTAATAATACCTCAAGTTATAGTAGCGCTCTACATCAGAGAGGAAAGTCATGTTATCACAGTGGCAAGCTTTAAAACTGTAGTTTTAAAAGTTGTATGTTTCCTGTTGATACTAGGCTATAGTTCATGAAACTTCAGCTAGTTAAATATAAGTTAGTGGAACTATGTGAATTTCAGGTAAGGACCTGATTCTCCAAAAAATAACATAAAACGAGCCTCAAGTTGCTAGGTGATAATGCATTAACAGGTTGGGTGTTTGCTGTTTGGGGTTTTTTTTCTTCCTTTTTTTTTTTTTGTATGGGTGTTGTGGGTTTTTTTTTGTTTTTTTTTTTTTTTTTTTTTTGTTTTTTTTTGTTTGTTTTTTTATAGGCTTTTTTTTTTTTTTTTCATTAAATTAATTAAATCAAAACAAAGTAATTCTGGTTTTTCCAAAGTACTTAGCATTCCATATGATTATCGCAACTTGTCATTTCTTCCTTTTGTCTGCCAGTAAAGATCCCCATCCTTAAATAGAAACGTTTTCAAACAGATTTGTACTCGAACCACATTCTGTTCTCAGTGTTTTCTTTACAACAGAAAATGACATAGCAAATTCTCTTGGAATTTGGAAAGAAGGCATCTGTCTCTATCTTTATGCTGAATGCTGCATTACAATTCCTTTGTTCCTTTGCTCCTGTACATGGAAAAGTTTGAATTTCCCAATGATTTCAGTATTGGCAAACATGCTGAATTCTTGTTAAAAAGGAACCCCAACAGAGATTCTTAAGTAGCCACAGTTTTTTGTTATGAGTTTGTTTGTTGAGATATCATCATAGCTCAAGCCTGTGGGAAATTATTTTTCATAATTTGGTGCATGAATGCGCTTGCTCTCTTTTTACCCTTGTTCATGTTCTCTCACTCTGACACTCACACACTATTAGCCTTAATTTAGAGAAAGAAACCCCGAAAACTTTGAAAAATTAATTATGGAACATGCACCTGACAGCAGTAAGAACAGGTTTTCT